CCAGGGACTCCCGAGCTGATATTTATTGTTAGGCAGTGCGGCAGCTCGGACGCAATTATAGCCGCACGGCAAAGTGTCTGGATTAGATAAATTATGGGGGGAATTAGGCTCCCTGGGCCGCAGCCTGCAAATCCCAGCAACCCTGCTGCAAGTGGAGCCATAAACAAGCCCAGCGCGGCCCTGCGGGGCTCTCCGGGGAGGAGGGGGTTGCTGGCTGTGGCCCCTCCTTGGGCACAAATTTATTGTGGCTCCTGCCATGCTACCCTGGGTATCCCTGTTGATGCCCTCAGCGCGATGACAGGATGAGGGGCAGCACATGGAGCAGCCCTATGGTGCCTTGGAAGCAGGGGGTTGGTGGCAGCTCAGCCCTTTTGGCCACACAAGGAATGGTTGGGGGTGCCAGGAGGCCAGGAAGGGTCCCCAAGCAGGCAGAGCACCCCTCATGCCATGGGTTTGGGGTGTGTTGGCAAAGCCCAGGGTTGGTGTGGAGGTGGGATCCTCAAATCCTGCTCCTGCTCGGCCTGGTTGTTGGTCCAGCTGTGCATTCCATCCCTGATGGCAGCCAGCAGGCCCTGGGGGTGTGGGATGACCCTTGACTCATCCTTGCCCTCCACTCCCCAGTCCTGCCAGGAACAGGCCTGGTGGCATGGGACAAAGGTGCAGAACAGCCGTGTCCACCCAGCAGCAGCTTTTGTGGGGCCTGTGACCCTGGGACGACCCATTGAGCAGGGCCGGGGGCTCCTGGAGTGTCCCCAGGCAAGCTGGGCCCTGGCATGCTGGAGGCTGTGTCCCTGCTGCGTGTCCCAGATGCCAAGATGGGGACAGCAATTCATGGACACACATGGCCAGTGCTCCTGACACTGCTGCACTCCAAGAATCCCCCCAGAGCAGGTTGGGGTGTATCACACTGTGCCACTGACTGATCTGGGACCTGAGGGTGCTCGTACTGAGGGCACTGGGTGCCATGGAGGGGGCAGAGCGGGGCGTAGGGTGACACAGGGGTGCACAGGGTGCCTGGCTGTGGTGTGGGGGTCAGGGCCCACCTGTGTGCAGGGAGGTTGTGGCACTTTGTGCAGGCTCACAGCTCGTGCATCTCCCCCCAGCACCGGCTCTGCCGCCACGCTCACCTCTTCAGGGTGGCTTTTATCTGGCCCAGGCTGTGTTGCAGGCAGCAGGGCTGGAGTGGGCTCTGGAGAGGTTTGGAGTGGGCCCTGGAGAGGGCTGGAGTGAGCTCTGGAAAGCCTCAGTGCCGAGCTGGGGAGGATCTCACACAGGAGAGGAGCCATGTCCCTGCAGAGCACGTCTGGAGGGGCCCAGGCTCCTCTGCAGCAGCCAAACCCCAACACCAGGGCAGGGCCTGGTCAGGTGCCCCCACCCCATCCCTGGGCACCAGCAGGGCTGAGGAGGAGTCACCCACAGCAGGAGGGACCCGCGGGGCTGGGGGCATCCAGCAGGAGGTGCTGGGCAGCTGTGCCCAAGCCAGGGGCAGCTCTGTGCCCAAGCAGGGGCAGCTCCATGCCCACCTGTGGAGCTGAATGTAGGGACAGTGCCAAAAACACCCCCCTAGACTGGCTGGGGGGCTCGGCCAGCCCCCACCCCATTCTCTGCCCTCCAGGCTGGGCACACAGAAAGCCCAAGCACGCAGCCATC